TTTTTTTTTTATTTTTAAATTTACAACAAAATTTTTTTTGGTGGACTTGGCGCGATTTTTTTACAGTGAAACTTTTTTTGTTCGGATTTTAGTATTTTTTGTAATTTTAGTAAAAATTTACAATTGGTATCAATTTAAATCTCGCGTTGGCTGCATTTTTATAGCAAACTATTCCCTTGAAAGCTACAGTTTATGTAAAATAATTCCAGCGCACCCTGGCGGGTGTAGATGCAAGCTGTGAAATATCTTTTTTTAACTGTAGTTTTCCATCTAATGAAGGATTACTATGCATTCTCGAATTATTTAGTCTGTGGCAGATCACTTTGCCCATCGAAAAAAAGTCAGGATCGAAATTTTTGCGTTGCTATAGTTTGTGCTGATCAAATTTAGTAATTTCAAGTAGATTAATTGTTATAAGTGAATATAATTAATTAATAACAGTATCATTCTCTGCTAAGAGCATCATGAATTTATAACTACTAGCACAGAAAAAAAATTTACTTAAATCAAGTAAATAATTTTTAAGAACTTTATCTTTTTGATTTGAGTAGACAGTAAAAAATTTTGCGTCATTGCGTCAAAAAATTTTGTGTTAAAAATTTTTATGTTAAATATTTAAGGGGGGCGATACATGTAACCGCCTTAATTTTTACCATTTTTTGAGGATTTTTTTAACTGGGAATCCATGAATGGATCATTTTGAAATTTTGTACCGTTATTTCTTATACATTGAAGTACTGAAGAAAAATTTTTTTTTACTTTTTTTTTCAAAATGGTCGCCGTAAAAATGAATCTGCCGAGACTCTCTCGGAAATTGACATCAATTTGGTGATTTGAAATTAAAAAAATTAATACGTACGTGTTCATAAAACATATATTTTCTGGTGAAACCAATAAAAAAATCAAAAAAGTCAAAAAATCGTAAATTTGCACACCTTAGAAAAAAAAGTTCAATTTTTTATCCTTTTTTTCAATGGTTTTTTGATAAAAGGGCTTAATTTTTGAAATTTTTTTGGAATTTTAGAGGTTTAACTAGAAGATATTACTATAAAGTAGACGTGGAAAAAATTTCATTGGAATCGGTTGAGGACTTTTTGAGTTATCCCGCGCGCAAATCTCAAAAAAGTCGTTTCGAGAAAAACGCGTTTAGATTCAGAGCCGACTGTTGCGATACCATATAAGCGCTGTACACTTTAACGAATTATAACGTACAAAATAATGCGAATTTACATCTGGAAATTCACAGGCATATTTTTTGGGTATTATACTAACTATTGATGCAAAAAAAAAATTGATTTTTAAAAAATTTTACATGTATCACCCCTCTTAACACTTTTTTGTGTTGACTTAACATCATAAATGTTGAATTTACAAATAAAAGTGTTAAATATTTAATATAAAAATGTGTAGAAAAATTCTTAAACTAAGAAATTTATTTTTTTGGTTCAAGAATTTTTTGTTTGCTCCAAGTTAATTTTTTTTTCTGTGTAGAGTTTAAAATATTTGTTATTTTTTTTAATTAATTTCCAATTATACGAAACTAAAAATTATTTATACTTTCAAAGCTCAACTTCTAAAGAATTTATATAATGTTGAACCTAATTTAATTATAACTAAAAATTACAACTACTTGTAGAAGTTCTTAAAAAATAATTGGGAGTTAATGCTGATTCAAAGTCAAAAAATTGTTCCTCAAAATTCTTAAACAAATTTCAACTAAAGCTCAGCGGAGCATGCGATAATAATAAAAATAAATGAAATGATTTAGATCCTCACCTCCTTCAGTCTCGTGCCAAACGATGCCTTCCAGTGTCACCGAGGTTCCAGGTTCGCACGGTCCCAGACATTCTGGTTCTGTGATTGTTCCAACACTCGTTCCGACGCAGACATCAGACATATCCTGCAATCAAAACATTGATTTTTTATTTAAATCCAGAAATTAATTTTACATACAAGGTTTGATATTTTCTAAAGCAATGATGATAAATTTACCGACAATTTGAGAATTAATAATTATTGTGATTATCAGGGGGAATAATGGCCGTAAATGTCTTACTTGTTCGAGCAGTAAATTTTAATATGTTGAGTGCTGTTTACTGCGTAATGGTTAATGAGGAAATAAATATAGTTAACTAATAGAGAAATCCTAACATTAGCCAGTTTAACTGGAACTCTTGTTTGGTGCCCTCTACCTTTACCTCAATCTCCATTTATAGTTTTACTCCAGTCTTTAGCCCTGTAGGATTACAATGGGAGTTTTAAATGCAAATCGGTGAGTTTATGTTGAGACTTCCATAATTACAGAAGCGTCCGTTGCCTTTACTTCCATATCCATGCATATAATGCTAAGTATGTACTGAGGTCACGCCTACTCAGAGTTTATTCCGCACCGTGAAAACGCAGCACCTGAATACGTAGAGGCTTTAAGTACTTTCTGAGTTATCGCTCTGATCTTTTCAAACTGTCACGGTTTTGCAAAATTTTTATTTTTTTTTAGGGATGTTTTTTACATTTACATTCCGGTATTTGAGCTTTGTTTTATTGTCCAATCGCCGGTGGAAAATTTTATTTTACCATAAAAGTTTGGGTAGTTTATTCCTGATATAGATGTTTTATGCTTGTGTGTTATACGAGCTTTATAAGTATCGAAAGTGTATATTATGTCGAAGCATGCAAGTATTTTACGATCAGTTTTCTGTACTACCCGTCTAAAAAGGTTCAGTTTATGGCACAAATTACAAGTTTTCGAGACGCTAGACTCAACTTTTAACAATAACAATACTTATACTGACGAAACAAAACCGACAGCAATGAGAAGGCTGTTAAATAAATATATGAGCTACGGGAGATTTTTAAGTCGGGTTGAAAGTACTCTTTGCTTAAGTTGGAGATTTATTAACTGCTAGTAAATTTATTATATTTATTTATTGAGGATTAAAAATTATTTTTTTTTTTTTATTTTAAAAAATATTTTTTCGAGAGAAACGCTGTATTTATAAATAGTTTGCAAATTTTTACAATTTTACAAACTAAGCGCATAAAAATAAATTAAAATTTTTATAAATTCTATAAGAAGTAAATTTAAAAATAAAAAATTACAGTTTTTATTAATAATCCTATAAAATATATTTAAAATTTTTTTTTGTAATTTTAAAATGAATTAATTACAATTATATTTTTAACGTGTAATTTTTTCATTATTTTGGGAGCGCTTAATTACTTAAATTTACATTTAAGTAATTTTTTATAGTGTAAAAAACTCCTCAAATAAAATTTTGACACAAATTTTATTTAAAGCTACTAATAAATATTTATTAACAGCTAAAAAATATTTATTAATTCTTAATAAATATTTATTAAATCGTCTAATATTAAAAAATCGTTCAAAGCTAATTAAATATCAATAAATTCTTCTATTAGTATAAAATTGTCAATCAATGGAACTAAAAGTACTTTTTTACAGTAGTCGTAAAAAATACAACACCGATAAAACTTCTCAGCAAATGATATAATATCGAGAGAAAAAAAAAAAAAAAAACAATTAACGACTTTGCACAAATGAAACGTCGCTTTACGGGGATTTTTCAGGATTACATTAAACTATAAGAGAAAAAAAAAAAGGCTGTACAGTATACGATATATAAGTGAGTATTAGGCAGGTTTATAGATCTTATGGTCTGGTGGAGTGGCGACGGAAAAAGGATTAAGTATTCCTGAGAGATTTCTTGTCCTTGAGAGCCTGGAAAACAATTTTATGGGATAGAAAAGAAAAAAGAAGCAGACGTAGATGGAGAGGAAGAGGAAAAATGTTGCGGTACTTACGAGCAACTTGAGTCTTAACTTTTGTTGTGAAACAAAAAATTACCGTGTGCTGGTATGTGCGGGTATATATAAATATAAATACATATACAGTCACATCAACATCGACGGCATTCCTCTTTCACATTGTACGGCTGACGAGCTTGAGAATTCAAATCCACCTGCAGTATACATTATTGTCGATTTATTGGATAAATATTTGGCGGATAAAAACCCGCAGAAGGTGGTGGAGGCTTTTTTAGTTACTGGTAGATACAGTAAACTCTCCTTACTACGTAGTGTATACTTCTGCTCAAAATGAAGTTTTACTTTTATACGGCTAAAATGAGAGAGGTGTTTCGTGGCAGAAAGAAGAAAGCAGAGTTGAAAGACGAGTCTCAGGAAACCCGAGTACGAGGATTGAGAGTCCTCCTCCTTGCTGTTTTTTTTTCTTATTCTTTTTCTTCAACACTCGGCAGCCATGTTCACTCTCTCATGAATATATTCATGAGTTTCTAGCAGACACTGTTACATTACCTCTATAATGTATATATTTATGTGTATATGTGTGTGTAGAAAAAATAGTTAGCAAGTAACTCTGCATATTCTAGCAGGTTTTAACTCTGCAATTATTACCCGGTTAATTACTAAATTTTCTCTGCTATTCACCATCTACAATTTACTATTTTAATATCTTAATCCAATCTACGAGAAGATACCTTAATTGATTGTGTTTTTTATTACATAATTATTTATCAATTTTTGGTCTTTTTTATATATTAAACTATGATATATATTTTTATAATCTATTGGAATTTTTTTTTATCGATTCAAGAGTCATTAAAAGTCTTAAATACAATTTTGATATTTTGTTAAAATTTAAAAAATATTTATTAATTTTTGATTAGTACAATATGTTCATAAATAATTTTTAGCCTTTTAATTTGACTTTATATGCAAAATAAAATTTTTTCAATAAATATAGTGTTAAGAGTTTCCGATAGGTGGCGCATGGTCGCTAAATCGTCTCACTGTAAGAGAGTTAAGTTTTAAAATATATATTTTTTTACTTTTCTAAGGTAACTTATCGGTTTATATTTTAATCAATTATTAATAAATTAATTATTGTTTAGTTTGAAAAATTAATTGAAGTAATAATTTAAATAAAAAGTACTAAAATTGAAAATTTATAATAAATTATTTTTTTTTAAATAATCTATCAATTTGTTAAGTATAAGAAATTTTTTTTTATAGGTAAAAACATTTAATTTGTTTTAATATTTAATAAATTAATTCTGTTTTTAATTATTAATAAATTTTTGGTGACCATAAATTGCAAGCGACGTGACTGGAATATGTCGATACAAATCAGCTAGTTGACGGTTATGAATAATGAATACTGTAATAGATATCTTGGTTACATCTGTAGAACCTGAGCATTGCATCGGAAATAGAAACGGTAGCCCTGGTGGCTAATTGCGGACCAATTACCGGGCAGGTTGGTGCGCTGCGTTGCTTGCAATCACGATCCAAGGCGGCGATAAAACCTCTATGGTATAAAGTACGAGGCTCTGTGTTTGTGTTTGTCTTCAGCCAGCTTATTGCAGTGTTGAGTTTAGTTGTGGAGCTAAAAAGACCCAAGGGCAAAATAAAACAGCAAACTGTATAATCCCGATGCGCTTTTTCCTCGGGAAAATGGAAGACGCTGTCTAAGATAATTATTTCGTGACAACCAACGTGGAATTTACTTATTTCTCTTTAAATTACACAGACTGAGGTATATTTAAATCCCCATGCCCTCTTCGGTCTCCACTCTATTGTCAAGTTATTTCGTGTAGATTAATTATTCTGAGCTGCATAAATAATTGGATTTTCTTTTCAGTAGTTTTATTTTTATTTCATTTTAGTGTTTACTTTTTTTACCCATTAAACATTCAGCTGGATCAGCTCAATTTATTAATGACCAAGATGAAGATGATGAAGGATGACGAGCGAGCTGAGGAGTTAAATTGTTACCAGCCGTATAATTACGCGGAAAACAAAAATAAAAAATTTATATATTTATGCTTTGTATATACCATTGATAATGATGATAATAAAAAAGTCGTCTTTTGTTGTTACTCCGAAGAGAGAGCATTATAGCAATCAACTTTAATGGAAGCAATAAAATGCAGGTGGTATTACTGCGTATATTTCTTTCTTAGTTTAGTTGTTGTTATTTTTGTTTTTGAAACCGCGAGAAAAAGCTGTGTTGCTGTTTTTACACTTTTTTCCTTATTTTCCCGAGAAAACTCTCTGTAATCCCATTTCGGCATATCTAAATCCATTTTGTAACAGTGCCAAACATATAAAACTCACTCGTTTTTCGGTGAACTCAAAAGCTCGTTTACTTTCTTTCGTTTAGTGTTGCCAAAACTTTCACGCGTTACTTATCATTCAATTGATTTATGTTATTTAAATTTTTTTAAGTGTATTTATTGATAATTGACCTGCTATTTCTTGAAATTTTTTTTTTATATAAATAGTGTTGAAAAACTCCGACAGGTGACGCATGGTCGCTCAATTGTCTCCTTAGAGGAGAGTTAAGTTTTTTACTTATTTAACTAGTTTCTCTAAAATTAAATTTTTACTATAATTAACTACTTAGCTATAAAATATATAGAGAATTATACTTAAAATTTATTTTTTACCCCCATATATGATTAAATATGATCAGATAGACTTTTATAAAGTCTGATATAAAAATTTGCTTATCAGAACATTTTTTCACGGTTTTTTTTTTTTATATTATACATGCCGCTATCTTTTTCCGATCGGAAATAATTTCACAATAAATTTTATCACAAATATAATAGAACATCGAGTACCAATAAGAATAAATTGAATTTTATTACAGAATTGTTTTTGACGAGTTCAATGTAGGTCGCTATTTTTTTAATTATTTTATTAACCCATCACACGTTTCACAATTACAAAATTAATTTTACATTCCCTCCATTTAATTGATTGATGAATTTTAAATGGATCATAATTCAACTTTTATGATTAAATTAAATATTCCAATGAAAATTCAACATTTCTCTCTCATTAAATTTTAATTCTTATTGT